TTAGACCACCAAGGGATCTTTAACGTGCGCAACTTGCACACGGGCCCTCCGAGATTTTTCGCCCTACAGGATGTTTCAACTTTATTGAACATATAGAAGAAGAAAAATCCATTGGTACATAAAGTAGCTTAAGAAGAAGAATTTCGTATTGTGAAAGTGTGAAATTATAATTAATACAGTTGGGATGTGTCTCGTGTGCACTCGAGAACAGTCTGCATACCTTTGCTCTGAATTCTTTCAAGGCGTTTTAACCTCGACGTTGACAAAGTGAGGGAACTTGTCCAAAACAGAATCGTAAGGAAGCCAGGAAAAAATGTCCTCCAAGACATCTTCCATCTTGGACCAGCAAATTTAGAGGGAAGGTTCCAGAGGGAGCTTGTACACAGTGAGATCAAGGATCACCTGACCGATCCGCAAACTGTAACTTCACACCTCCCAAGTGCTATCCTTGCCTCTTTAATAATGGCACGAGTCAAATCTTATTTATCCATCATCACCGGTACTTGCATTTCATAGGACCACTGTTTGACTAATTAAAAACAGACAGGATTGAAGTTCTCCTTTGTTTCCACCTGTAGCCTCACCCATTGATGCAAAATGCACAAGCAACCAACACCATCATCGCTCCCCTGCATGCAACAATTCAAGTAACTTTTTGTCTTGGCTGGCTAAACGACCAGGGCGGCAGGCAGTAGTCAAATTAATTTTACACCACTTGAAACCCAGGAAAGTGATGGAGCACTACTCGGTCACTTTCATAAGCAGTGATGAGATTTCACACCAAGAACACCCTAACCAACTGCACCGCTCAGGGCTCACATAGATGGGGTAACAGCTATCCCAAAACCACATCCCTTCCTCACCAGGTGGCATGGCGTAAAGGTTAGAGCCAATGGAACCAAATGGGAGTTTTGTTCCATATCTAGATAGAGAGGGCAAAGTATTGTCTTGGACAGGTCAAAACCCACAGAAGATGTTAAGGCAGACTGAACTTCAATCACAATAAATACCTTGCTATATCTCAAAGTTGAAGTTGAAAAGTCTAAAAGTTTAAACAGCCCAGATAAAGAAGCATCAGCCAGCTGACCCTGTCACCCACAGCGAAAGTGCTCAAAGAGAAATCTTCCATCTCAACAATAATTTCAATCCTGGTATCCCTTGCGCCAGATAGATGACACTCGCCTTAAAATAGCTGACGTCTGCCGAAAATTTTTCTGTCTCACACTCCTCGTTCTCCCTTCCCCCCTCCATCTTTTTTGAGCAATATAGTCAAATTTGCTCTTAAGGCCACCTGTATAAGACAAACACCTGAACAAACATCCACTTCCCATTTCCTCACTTGCTTTTATTTTTCACATTATGAGACTGTGTAAGATAGCCACCTGTCTAAAATGGCCACTTTTCTCCTCGACAATGGGTGGGCATCTCGGATAGTTTTGATTGTGGGCTATTCCACGATAACTGGCGGGACATTTGGACTATACTTTCTTACAATGATAACACTGGTAATTCAATATCGATTAGTTTATTTCAACTTTAAATGATCAGAACATTTGAAAGACATATTAAGAATATTATATGCAGTTATTTATTTTTTTAAAGTATTTTATACAACTGATGGGACAAATGGGGTATTTTTTCTGTCCCATCAGTTACCGAAACTAAACACGTCAATTTGCATAAAGTACGTTTTTCAAATGACTGCATTTAATATAGTCTTTCAAATTTTCTGATCACATGAAGTTGAAAGAAATCACTTGATATTAAATTACAGTGTCATCATTGTTAGAAAGTATAGTCCAAATGTCTCGTCAGTTACCATGGAATAGCCCTTGTTACACTTGTATTTATGCACTTACTCCTGAGAGGCTTGTGAAGAGGAGAAGTGCTGATTTGTACTGGCCGCCCCTGACGCAGTCTGGCGAGATCTTCCATCTTGGGACTCCCCTGGGGGCACCAAAATGTGCATGACCTGGTTGTGGAGGAGCTTGGTCAGGGCCGTCACACACATCGACTGCAACAGACAGGATTATATGTTGATTTTGTCACAAAACTGAGTAAAACAAAGAACACTGACATAAAACTTGTCAGTCTGACCAGTGAAAAAGTAACACAGATAAATAGAAAAACATCAGAGGGAAAGAAAATATGGACCTACCCTCTAACCACCTGTAAGATTATTGAATCAAAAGGAAAAAAACACTATACTGGAACATAACAAAATTGGAGCATGCGCATGCAAAGGGGGATTTTTTTTTTTTTTTGGTTAATTTGTTTGTTTTTTTCATTTTCATTTTTTTTTGGGGGGGGGGGGGGGTCACTAAAGAGAGCTGGGATGAAGGAATGAAACCTCCATAACTGCATAACTTAGAACCAAACATTATTAAAGAGTCAAGTAAGAGAAAGCATTACAGCAAATCGGGCAAAAAAAACCACCCCAAAAATGGATAAAAGAGAAGACAACGAAAACTCTTCAGAGGAATTCTTAAAGCCACAAGTGACAAAGCACCAGGTCAGCTATGAAAAACAAAACAACAAAAAACAGAATAAGCTGACCACACTAAGCATCCAGTAACCATCACCACAGGCTCAATAAATCAAGACAACATAAAAAAAGCCTGAAAGGAGTTGTTACTGGAGAAAGTAGAAATAAGGGATGGAGAGGGGAGCATGTTAAGGGAAAAGACATGATATAAGACAAAATTGTCTGTCCCACTGAAACTAACCTTAAAGTAAATGTCGGAGGAGAAGAACAGCCTGTGCAGGGGTTCCAAGATTCCGGAGAACAGATCTGAAATAGGAATAGGAACACTCAAATAAAAAAACGGCCAGATAGGTTCGCTGTATGTTCATCCCCTTATATAGACTCACACAGAGATGTGGGGGCTCTCGTGGCCTAGAGGTTAAGGCTAAGGTGTTCGTCTCTCATTCAAAGGTCCCAGGTTCAAATCCAAGTAGTAACGGAATAATTTTCTCTAAAATTGCCTCCTTTCACCTCCTTTCCTTCTCTCTAGCAATGTTCTGTCATCTGCTTTCGTCTCCACTTTCTGCCCCCCTCTCCCCCCCTCCTCTGGGCTCCTGACTCTTTTCTGCAGCCTTTCTACTGCTACTCCCAGGCTCTTTCTGTCTGCTGTCTTTCTGCCTCACCCCTGATCTTCTGGTAGGAAAGATCTACACCTAGCCTTCTTGGACAAGGGTGAAAAATCTCGGAGGTCCCGTGAGCAAGTTGCCCACGTTAAAGATCTCTTGGTGGTCTAAAATCGATAAGAGTAGGCTTCGGCTACCACCCGAGCAAAATCCAAAATTCCTACCAACTGAAAATGTTGAATGTGTCTCGCGCGCTCATACGACCTTATGCAGTTGAGAGAGCAGTAAAACATTTAACCCCCAAAAAAAAACCCAGCCTTTTTTTTAATACAGAGATGTGCACAGCTACAGAAAATTTTTTATTCTACATGACCACAACAGTTTTTAGTCCACATGAATTTACAGAATGACATATTATATCACAATGGTCATTTCATTTTATTTTTTTTTATAGTTGAGGGTTTTACTGCGCTCGCAACTGCATAAGGTCATATGAGCGTCAAGGGGTGGGTGTCAACAGAGAAGTCTTTACAGGGAATCAGACTGCTCACCTCTCTAGCTTCAACAGTCTGCTTCGACTATCAAGGCACCCCAAAATAGCAGGTCACAAAAGAGCGACAAACATACAAAAGAAGTAGAGGAAAATGACAATAGTAAAAGGATCAGGAAATAAAAAGCAGGTCATTTCATAAACATATGATATAATGATGGCCATGTAGCAGGCATATATATCCTATGACAGTCATTTAATTTTTACAGCTGGGAAATAGCATACTGACTGACAAAACTAGGAGAGACACATGAAAAGACCCACTGGCAGCACATTCTTACTACCCTCATGATCTCAGTAAACCCTACCATTCAGGTTTTCTTAAAACCGTACCCTTCAGGGTTGGTTCTCCAAAGTTGTCTTTTAACCCACTTGAGCCTATTCCCATGTATTTATGGGACGCCTCTCTGGACCACTGGCCTAATCCCGTGGATTTACAGGATACGTTTTATCAATCGACATCTCCCATATCTTTTGGTTTCAAGCTATGGGAAGCAGTGAGCCAACAGTTGACCCACTTGTTTCGTTTCGTAATGGTAAGTAAAAAATTTGGTGAAGTTACGGGCCATGCTTTTCAGCTGTAACGGAGTAAGTAAGTCAGTCACTCCTGCATTGCGATAGATGATTTTATTTATACATTGGATGCAAAAAGAATTGCGTAACTCCCAGTAGTCCCAGACATTGCCAATTCAGAATATTGATTAAATAAAAATTATTCAGACGAATTAGGTGCAATTTTCTTTTGCAGTGAGGGCGTTTCTTTTCTCTTGTTGCATTTTTTTTACTATGATACTTTCAGTCTTTTTATGTTAACGATTTAATATACACCCAAAAGTGTCAGGCTGCAATGGTTGTTGGGTGAAAAATAGCCCAGGCTCAAGTGAGCTAAAATCCTGAACTCAGACTCAACCAAGAGAATACCCTCTGTTTTGAGATTTATCTTATCCACAAATATTTTTATTTATAGAGAAACTAGGCATCTATGATCGGTGCCGTTTTTTCCTCCTTCTCATCAGTCTTTCAATCCATTTTTCCTTTAACATTTATGAAGGTTTGGTTTTAAAACCGGTATTAATCTTAATTTTTTTTCTTCTTACGTACCAAAATCATTTCTACCACCAACTTCACCAGTACAACATATGCATCATCTATCCTATCCACATTTGAATGTCTAAAGGTCTTTTCAAAGACATGGTACATGGTCCAAACATCAGGTTAAAGACGATGAAAACTAAAATCTTCCATCCTTTCACAGCTATTTAGAGTCTATAATTTCTCTTTTCTTTTTCCGTTGAAAAACCAAACAACAACAAAACCCACAGAGTTAGTTTTAGTAAAGGTTTTACGATGATCGCAACTGCATAAGGTCCAATGAGCGCCAGAAGTTTAGAGGTGTTACAAGAGATTAACAAACATAAAAAAGAAGAAAGGGAGATAAGGACGATAGATGTTTGATAGGAAACAAGAAACAAACCACACCAGAGCACCCGCCAACCACCCACAAATCCACAGAGGTGGACACAGTTCAGTACAATTTGAGAACAGAGAGGCACATCACTGGCACATGTGGTGTGAAGCCATTAGGTGGTCTGCCATCATACATAGAAGCCATGAGTTCAATTCTTGAGAAAGGATATTTCTTTTTTTTACATTGATTATCTCCATCTATCAGCTGGGATGCTGTATCCCTCTCTGCCCAGGCTGGCAGTCGATTCAGCCCACCCCTAAATAGTAATCACAAAAGTGTAACACGTACAATTTCTAATTTTAAAAGAAGCACATCGACATAATATTAGTCTATTAGTGATAAAACAACATCAGTGCAAAGCAACCACCTGGTTATTTCCGCGAAAAAAGAGGGGATATAAGGTGAGAACGGGTGACAATGAAAAAAAAAAAACAAAACAAGAAAAAAACAAGAAAAAAAACAACAAAACAAAATTCAACCTTGAAAACTGCTGGGTCTGATGCAGGTGATCAAGGAGAAGATCATAGAGGCACAGGCCTGTCCATCCCAGGTGGGCAGGTAACGAGTAAGGAATCCTTCCACCACAGGTAGACACTGTGACATTACAAATATAGAACAGACAACATTTATCGGTTTGAAAGAAGAAAAAAAATTACATCAAAGAGAAAAAATCGTCATTAAAAAATATATGTGTGTACAGTGGAGTCCATTCAAAAACTGAAGACGTTTATCTAAAAACAGCTGTACACTGAAAGAAAAGAAAAGCTCTGATTTTTTTCCTTCTATTTGAGCAACCTCTCTAAACCAAAAACATGTGTTACACGGAAGAAAATCTGGTGCTCCGGCAGATTTTGGTTTAAGTGGATTCCATTCTACATTAATTTTATACAGAGTAAAGACATTCAACATTAAATTTTTTTAAAACGACCCCATAACCACCTTCTATGAATAAATAAATTGTGACCTCTTTTACCATCTAATAGTTTGTTTTGGTGTTTTACGGCGTTCCAAACTGTATAAGCTCATGAGCGTGACTTTGGTTTACTGAAATAAAGAACTAAGACCTCCATAGTCATCTGCAATAATAAGAAAATAAAGATCCCAAAAACCACCTTCTACAATAAAGATAAAATAAAACATCAGCTACCTGAACATTGGGAGAGAAAGTTTGCAACATCTGCAACAATTTCTCAAATTTCTCCGTCTCACTCTTGCTTTTTTCCCGGAACCCTAAGAGTACAAAACAAAAGTAATTTATGGTTATTTCTTCATGCAGCAGATAATAATATGAATTCAGGGATCAAATCATAGGCCTAATTATCTTTTTAAAAAATCAAATGGGACATCGAATGGGACAACAGACAAAAATATTTCTTTAAAAAACCAAATTAAGATTTAAGAACCAAAATGACAAAAGCACAACACGGTCCTTCATCAAACTGTCTGGACACAAGTGAAGGAAATTATGGCATTACAGGATACTCATGAAACAGAAATCAGACTATGGAAAGGGGCTCCTCAAAATATTCTTTAGATGCCTTCCCTCTTTGATTTTCAAAGGCAGATATGAATGAGATTATAGAAGAAGAGTATGTGATAGAACATTAACCTCTAACCAAAAATTCTACTCCAATAGTCAATTTCAAAACTCCACCATAAGTGATGTAGAATAGTAAGACAAAGAGTCTCTCTCTCTCCCTCTCAGGTTAGAGGTATTATCAGAGTAATAATAATAATATATAACATTTATATTGTACAGCGCATGCTCCCACTCGACAGTAAGGAGGAGAGATAAGGACGATAGACATTTGATAGGAAAGAATGAGCAAACCACACCAGAGTACCCGCCAGCCATCCTTCCACTCCACTCCATCCCCTGTGTTAAAGACAAGAAAAAGACCACAAATGCTCAAACAGTCCCGATCACAGGATACAGGACACTGTAGGTTGTAAGGTGGCACTGACCAAAGGTCAACACGTGCTGGATCCAGAAGCACAGCCGGGCCATAACCACAGGGTCAGGATTGCACGACAACAGCAGCTGCAGCCGGGTGTCACTGAGAGCAGCCGCGATTTGACTCGGATACTTTGAGGGAGGAGGGGTGGGAGTGGAGGAGAGCAAATACGTATTTATTATTTACTTGAGTTTGAGTAAAGAGATGCACATCGCTACAATAATGATCATTTAGTGCAGGGAAAAAGCAAGACAGACAGAAACAACAGAGGGAAAGAAAAGAAGTAGGACATACTGCCAATGGTACCCTTCAATTCAACCAGCAGCAGATTTACTTGTTGTGAGATGACAAGATGTGTGAGGTGTCGAGGTGAAATCAGGCAAAATAATTAAATCAAAGATACTGACATTTTTCAGCTGGTTTGGTAAATTTTATCGAAGTTTTGTTTTTTGGCTAAACAACTTTTGTGTCCATTTAAAAGCACATTTCAGTGTGGATTTTACTTTAAAATGTTGATTAAAGGCACAAAAATTGAAAAATTTTCAGTTTCCACGGACTCTCAGACTATGAAAGTCACCAAACTTTGCAGCCATTTTCTCTCTAATTTTACATATGAAACCAGGCAACCCCTACCTCCTTCAATAGCAAATATATCTCGATTTTTATTCAAGACAGATTCGTATTTATATGCGCAAGCTTTAAGATGATACTATTAATTCCATATGTCCAAAAATTGACGCGCGCCGCATTCCACCGCATCGCAACACATGTGGTTAGAAAATTCAAGAACTTTGTCCAGATTACGTACACATTTGTAGCACAAGAAACTGTTTAGAGGGGACCAGATGAAACAAGGAAAAACAATGAAACCCATCCATAATATATAGAAATGTATATATAAGGTGTGTGTTTGTGTATGCAAAAAAGTACGGAGAGAGACCAAGAGACAGACAGACAGAAAGAGTGGGGGTGGGGTGGGGGGGAAGGGAGAGAGAG